CGTGTGTGTGTGTGTGTGTGTGTGTGTGTGTGTGTGTGTGTGTGTGTGTGTGTGTGTGTGTGTGTGTGTGTGTGTGTGTGTGTGTGTGTGTATATATATATATGTATATATGTTGCTGGCCAACCCTCCTCGATCAATATTCCTTCGTTGTCCCCAATCACCATTCTAGACTGATATATCCCAATATTGGCTGTCTCGACCCTGTCATAACCCATCGCTTGACGTTTCAAAGTACATCCCTCTTCGTTTCTCAATTACTGATTTGCTATTTATTGTCATCGTCTGAGAATTCTGTAAAACTAGTTGATAACACAACTCACGGATCTTCACATCCCACAAATGAACGACGAACCGACACCTATAGATTACCAGCAGTTGCTGCAATACTTATGTGAACAGATCTTCTTGATTAGGGTACATCAAGTTCTTGGCAGGTCAGAACGATACCGTATTGGTATCGTCAGAACAAATCCGGTGGTTCCAGCCCCATTTATAACTACCGCCGCGTTCGTGACTTCTGTGTTCCCATGCATGTTGACTACCACTCATTACACTAATTGACCCCGTCTTTCTTCCTCCTACAACTATTCCGCAGTCTCGGTGCCACCCGCCAGTCGTTTCTTCTGCAGTCGGCGTTCGTTGCGCCTCTGCTGCTTCGCCGCATTCTTCTTATTCTTCGCCGCAGCAGGCGCCGGCGTAGCCGCAGTACTACCACCAGTGACTGACAGATGCCCACTCCCACTCGTATCAGAAGACCCCTGCACAGTCCGTGGCGGTACCACCGTGCCTGTATCGCCCTCGTCGTCGAAGCGCATACGTTTGTTCTTTGCACCCACACTCGCACCCGTTGCAGCGCTGTTATATCCTCCGGTGTGGGAATAAGCATAGCCTGTGTGAGAATAACTAGCGTACTCGCCGCTACGCACAACCTCCGTCTCCGGCACGCGCTGCCCGCGCTCCACCACAAGCAGGTACCGAACTTTCTCCGACGCGTGCGTGCCCGCCCCCGTTTGCCACAGACGGTCAAAGTACGATCGGCTCTCCACCCCCTCCACATACCCCAGCTCTTTTCCGGGGGTGCCCTCATATACGTGTATATACGTTCCGTCCTCCCCTCTCACGGTTTCCTTGACGTATACGCTCTCGGTGTTGGCGTCCATATTGTCTTTGTTGCGGAAGGCTGTGTCGGTGGTACGCATCAGCTCCACCATACTCCTAGCCAAGGCCAGTGTATAGAAGATGTTATCGCTCACAATCACCAGACTCCCAGCCTCACATCCCCTCTCGGCCGACACGCCCACGCCCCCGTCATCCGCTGCCACCTCCATTTCACCTTCGTTTGCAGCGCTCATTGCCGCACTACGAATGTCAGAGTGCTCCTTAGCGTCCACCAAACACGCAATACACGCCTTCAGATTCTCCGCGTTGAGCATGTGTGTGCTATCGTTCGTCTCTCCACTCTGTGTAGGGGGTTCAGGGTGGTTGACAAAGATGCCCTGTACAGTACCCACCCGCACCCGCTTGTGCAACACATCCCCACACTCCCCTCCCACCACACACACATTACGCAGCGGTGCATATGTGTCTCGGTTGCTGCCCATGCCCAGACATACAGCCGAGAAGGTCTGAGCCACGCGATCGGCGCGCAATTCCACGCTCACGTAGTTGTGTTGTGGGTAGGCATGCGCCTGCTCGGTGATCCAGTCTCCAGTGCCCGCTCCCAGTTCTATAAATAGCGGCGCATCCGATTGGCTGGCGGAGTTGAAGACGTCTGTGAATCTGATGTAGCCGCTCCTGTCGAGGAGGTCGTGATATATGTTCGCATGTCTACGCTTTCGGTTCTTCCTGGCCTGTAGTTGTAGTTGGTACTTTGTCAGTTTCTTCTTCTTCGCGCCCTCGTGCACCTCGGATGGCGCTGTTGGGCGTTGCTTTCCAAATCCGAAACACTCGGCTGCCTTCATCAGTTGATTCAATACTTGTTTCACCGAGTCACCATCCACCCTCCCCTCAACCGAGTAAACAAGCTCGCCTGATGTTTTGCCAGATGATTTACTTCCTTTCGGGCCATTTTTGGACACTTTTGACCCATTCTTGGCCCCCTTTTGGTCCATTTCCGTCTCCTCGCTTAGTCGAATCTCTGTATTCTGTGTGGCTTCATCCGTACTACCCGCACCGCTGAAAAAGAAGAACTGTCGGTACATACGCGGCAGAGTGTCCTCGCCCCACACGCTGTTCTCCTTCCCACTCACGCCTTCACTACTTCCCACATTAGCGTCCTTCGCTGCGGTAGTTTTACCTACCGACGTATCTGTTATGGTTGCGCCAACCGAGCCCACCCCTGCTCCCCCTATCCCTATGCTGGTGTATCTATCTCTCAGTTGTATCAACCCTCCCTTAATCTCGCGCAGCTTGTGACCCCGGAACTTGCGGTTACTCTCCATACGTAGCTCATTTACCCCCGCCTTCGCACGCTTCCCCCCCCTCACATTCACGCTCACCCGTTTGGTAGTATGTGTAGGCTCACTATGTGGGCCATGCACATCCCCTGGTTGGTACAGTGCAAGCCGCTCCATCTGGGCGATGACCTCCAGGGCACTGGTGATGTGGTCGAGCACTATACTGGGCTGTGTGCTTAGCATCAACTCCGCACGCGCCACGGCTAACAAGCCAGACGCATACGCCTCCCCATACTCACTCAAGCTATCTTCACTACGTATATACACCTGATGGTGTGATTTCAAGAGTCCTGTAGAACTGCCCTTCTTCACCGATTTAGATGTATTCGTGCTATGTGTTTCCGTCATGTAATGGCCTGGCTGAGCGGGTTTCTCATACGATTCCCATTCTGCGGCTTGTTCAAGGGCGTTCAGTTTCTGAGCGGCTGCCGGTACTCTAAGCGCGGCACACGCAGCACTCACATAGTACTCGTAACTACTTGCATCGAATATGACATCGCTGTTATCGTTACACGATCTGAGCGCTTTAGAATACATATCCCAGCCCTCATCCAGCATACTGCCTGGGTTTCCCCACAAACACGCACGCAGAAACGTATTGAACGTCCGCACATTCGGTCTTAGATTGCGAGTGCGAATACGTTTCTTATCACACATCTGCCTCAGCACATTCAGACACTTAACCACATCCCCACTATGCGCATACCCTTTCATCAGTGTGGTATATGCCTGTACACTCACCGGACCTTCTCCCTCTAACTTGTGCACTATATTTTCAGCTGACCTAATATCACCCCCCCGTACACACGCATTAACTACAATAGCTGCGTGATGTTTGTCGACAACCCCCTTATACACTACATCATTGTACAATTCGATCGCTTCCTTGGTTTTCTTGGCGCGGGCCAGGGCTTGCAGTTCACTATTCAGCGCCAGTGCTTGTGCCGAGGCTTCTTTGTGTTCCGTTGCACCGGCTTTGGTCTCTTTGTTATACCCATGCTTCTTATTCTGTTTCGCTTTTGCCTTCGATTTTGTGTCTAATTGGGACACCATCTCGCCAAAACTGCGTTTCCGTTCTTTGCTCATGTTGGATGTTGATTGTTGAATGCAGTATGTGTGCGTTGAGTTATGTAACTATGCCAGTTAAAGCCTGCTGAACTATCTTGTTATCACACACCCCTTCTAAAGCCCTACTCCGTAAATTCGACCGGCTACGCGACGATGGGTGCCTGTAGTGTGTATTTAAAACGCACAAGTTGTAAGCTTTCCTTTGTCCACTATATAAATACATCCATAAAAACACTTTTATGTATTTATTATCTGTTGATCTATACCTTTTTTTTGGCACGTGGCCACACACAGCAACTGTGACGTCAAGTCGTCAACCTCCCTTTTTTGCGTTTTAAAGTTAAACGTTTATGCAACATAGTTGGTACAATTCTACAATAGGCTTTGACATGTGGGTACAAACGGGTTTACGTTAAAATCCCCATATATGGAACTAAAATGTGTAAAACCCAAGAACCCTGCGTGTCAAAATATTTGGCGGGCTCTACTGTTCATAACAAAAGTGTTCAATTTATATATTCATGACCTACGGACGTTTGTCCAATGACCGATCAGCCATATTAAAATATTATAACTTTCTCTGGAGAGAGAGAGAGAGAGAGAGAGTACATAGTCAGTATAAGAAATCCATTCATTAATCTTGTTTAATCCCTGAGGAGAGGCTACGTTGACCTCTGACTCAAAACAAGAAGTGTAACCCCCACTCGGAAATAGCATCTGTACTTATTACACTCGCACTCCATACCACGACGCTCCACAACGCCATCTGCATTGTATTTACTAACGCTTGTAATGAGGTTAGGCACCGATGTATTCGCCAGTTGGGTGGCGGGTAGTGTACTGCACATCTACGGTGATTCCCTGGTGGATTATGGGGCTACCTACAATTTGACGCAGGGGGCCTGGCCGATCTCTCCTCCTTATCAGGTGGGCCAACCCTTACTTTGTGTATTATTTGTTTTCAATAGTGGATTATGTAGACATTCATCTTAAGGTGATGGTGTATTTTCGGATTTAATTTTGTATTTAGGAACTTCAGCTTGGTGTGTCTTCTTTGTTTTCAATAGTAAATTATGTGGAAATTCAACTTAAAATCTTATGTGTATTTGGGATTAATTTGGTATAAGGAAATTCAGCTTGATGTTGTTTGGGTATTTTGGGCTTATTACTGTATACGTATTCTCATCTTAATACTATACAAGCCGATTCGGCTCATTGTTGTATGCACAATTTAACGCATATTTGGATGCAGACACCAAACGAGACCCGTACATTTCTTACAATTCTACAGTTTAAATGTCTGGAAGGATATTCTATATGTCTATTAGTGTGTACCAAATTTCCGCCTTATAGTGGTGATCCTGATAGATGACGACAACCATATACACCAATACATGTCACAGTGTATATTATACCATGGTGGCATCTAGACTCTCTAAACTCTTATACAAGTGCTCATTCCTTGTGCCAACACAAACCAGCCTGGATTCAGAGTGTCGGGTATTTAGAAGTTATATGGAAGCGAATTCATCAGTCAGCACATACATTATATACATATATATACATATATACATATATATATATATATGTGTGTGTGTGTGTGTGTGTGTGTGTGCGTGTGTGTGTGT